ACAAAATACAAGAGAGGTGCATGCTGCCTGTCTGTTGGTTGGTCTCTGTGTGTGTGTGTGTGTGTCTGTCTGGCTGGCTGGCTGGCTGGCTGTCTGTCTGTCTGGCTGTTGATCTATGTGTCTGTCTGTCTACATTATCTGTTTGTCTATGTCTGAAGTCTGTCTGTCTATCTATAGTATCTGTCTCTATGGATAGTATATTTCTGTGTCTGTCTATCCGTCTGTCTACAGTATCTGTCTGTCTGTCTACAGTATCTATCTAAAGTATCTGTCTGTATGTCTACAGTATCTGTCAATCTATCGATAGTATCTTTCTGTGTCTCTGTCTATCCGTCGGTCTACAGTATCTATCTGTAGTATATATCTGTCTGTCTATAGTATCTTTCTCTCTATCGATAGTATCTTTCTGTGTCTCTGTCTATCCGTCTGTCTACAGTATCTATCTGTAGTATCTGTCTGTCTGTCTTCAGTATCTGTCTATCTATAGTATCTGTCAATCTATCAATAGTATCTTTCTGTGTCTCTCCGTCGGTCTACAGTATCTGTCTGTCTGTCTTCAGTATCTGTATATCTATAGTATCTGTCAATCTATCGATAGTATCTTTCTGTGTCTCTGTCTATCCGTCGGTCTACAGTATCTATTTGTATTATCTGTCTGTCAATCTGTCTGTCTGTCTAAAGTATCTATCTATAGTATCTGTCTGTCTGTCTACAGTATCTGTCTATCTGTCTGTCTACCGTATCTGTCTATCTGTAGTATCTGTCTGTCTGTCTATCTATCCGAGTCTGTCTATCTGCAGTATCTGTCTGTCTGTCTACAGTATCTGTTTGTCTGTCTGTCTGTCTACAGTATCTGTCTATCTGTAATATCTGTCTGTCTGTCTACAGTATCTGTCTATCTGTAGTATCTGTCTGTCTATCTGTCTGAGTCTGTCTACAGTATCTGTCTATCTGTAGTATCTGTCTGTCTGTCTACAGTATCTGTCTGTTTGTCTACAGTATCTATCTATAGTGTCTGTCTTGTCTGTCTACAGTATCTGTCTATCTGTAGTATCTGTCTGTCTGTAGTATCTGTCTGTCTGTCTGTCTGTCTGTCTACAGTATCTGTCTGTCTATCTGTCTGTCTGTCTACAGTATCTGTATCTGTAGTATCTGTCTGTCTGTCTACGCTATCTGTCTATCTGTCTGTCTACAGTATCTGTCTATCTGTAGTATCTGTCTGAGTCTGTCTGTCTACAGTATCTCTGTAGTATCTGTCTGTCTATCTGTCTGAGTCTGTCTACAGTATCTGTCTATCTGTAGTATCTGTCTGAGTCTGTCTGTCTACAGTATCTCTGTAGTATCTGTCTGTCTATCTGTCTGAGTCTGTCTACAGTATCTGTCTATCTACAGTATCTGTCTATCTATAGTATCTGTCTGTCTGTCTGTCTACAGTATCTTGTCAATCTATAGTATCTGTCTGTCTGTCTGTCTGTCTACAGTATCTGTC